AGTAAACAACTAAAACAGCTTATGACTAAAAAGGGTTACAAGTGTTTCAAGTGTATGATAGAAGTATTGATGATGGCATGGTTAATTGTGTTTTGAGAGAGGATGAGTGATGGACAGGGTGAGTGAGACTGGTAGGAAATGCTCTTCACAAAGACTTGAGCTGAAACTTGAAAGTGTTGGTCTGTGGAAAAGCTTTTCTGGCGTCATGGTGCTGGGAGCAAGAGAAACTGCTGACACAGGATCATCATTTTGTTTGATGAGATTTTTCTTTTTTTTTTAGTTTACATGAGATAATAAGCTTTAGAATTAAGGTACTTGGAACCATGAATATTTGTGTGAGATTGTTGGTTTTGTTTTTAATGGTATAGTCTTACCAAATCTCTATTTTGACAATTGAAATTGTCGGTAGCCCTTGGTTTAAGAACACCTTCCTGAAGGATCCTTCACCTGCTCTTTTTTTTATTTTTAATTTTATTTTATGTGTATGAGTGTTATGCTTGCATGTATTTAAGTGCATCCATGTCATGCAGTGCCTGCAGAGGCCAGAAGAGGGCATTGGCTCCCCTGGAACTGGAGTTAACAAGCAGTTGTTAGCCGTCATGTAGGTGCTGGGATTGGTCCTCTGTAAGAACAGCTAGTGCTCTGAACCACTGAGCCATCTCTCCAGGCCCTGAGCTGCTCCTTTGAGGACTCACTGTTCCTTCTATTCTTTCATCATCACTCTGCCCTGTCCTCCACAGTGTCATTTTGCCGCTGCTGCAGGAGGCATCTTTGAAGAGTTTGTGAGTCCAGGAGTAAAGGAAGGAAAGCAGCTGGGAAGGCACATTGCTGGCAGCAGCTGTTTTGCTCTACTCACCTGCATATGAGGACATTAGGTCAGAATCCTGTATCACTCGATTTTTTTCTCTACTCATTCTTAAAAAAAAATTCAGACCTTCAGCCAATTAAACATTCCTTTATAATTAGCAAATCTGGAAGGGTCATGTGAAATTTGAGTAGATGTTCATTCTTCTCTATAGATTTCTTCTATTCCCATGTTTTAAAATATGTCTCTCCTTTTAACAACAAAGCAAAGCAAAACGCCACTTTTCTGAGCTTGTAAAACCCAATAATCATAGCCAGGTGGCTTCTCTTCTTTAACTATTAAGGGCAGCTTAGTTTTGTTGCCCTCTAGCTTTGTTCCCACTTTAGAAAAAGTATTTATGTGCCCACACATGGCTGGCCTTCTTAGTCCAATAAATAACAATGAACAAGACAGACATGGTATCTACCCTTGTGGAATTTAAATTTTCAGTGGTGAAAAACTATTCAGTTTCCTAAATACCTCCGATAGAATTTGGCAAATCTAATAGACATTCCTCTTAGCACTCAAAATAGTCCTTTCTCAATCTGGGAGAAAGGACACTTTTCTTGGTCTTTATAATATCTTCTGTGTGAAAGGGGTGTCTACTTAGATATTGAGGGTCCCAGTGGGGATGGTGGTATAAAGATGATTAAGATTGTTTGAGATATTCTGCTTGAAATGCACAAAAATTCAGTAAAAACAAGTTTTTAAAAATACTTTTAAATTGTACCTACTGCTCTTTCAGGGGACCGAGGTTCAGTTCTCAGAACCCACATTGCAGCTAACAGCCATCCTTAACTCCAGTTTCAGGGAATTCGATACCCTCTTTTAGCCTCTGCAGGACTAGGCATGAGGCATGCTTGTGGTGCACTTAAATACATGCAGGCATATGTATACATACATATACATAAAATAAAACCCTTTACTATTTCTTTTCCCAAAAACCTCTTGACTGTATTCCCTTTGTGTCATTTAAATCGCTTTTTGGGCAATCTGTTCTCTATGCTCAAAAATCCCAAGTTCAAGTTTATTGCCTCCAGTTAACCACTCTCTGAGCTCCAGATCCAGATAACTGGAACCATCAGGAACCCCTCAAGTTCATAATGTCTAATACTGAAACCAATCGTTCTCCTCATTTCAAACTTTAATATTTTTCCTTATCTTTAAATTGTGCTTACCACTGTCCATTTACTTCCTGACCATTCTGAATCATTTGCCTTCTAAAAAATGACCATATCCTATTGATCCTGTTGTTCCCCTCTCTTTACCCACCCTTTCCTTTCTTATCTTATAGCCATGCCACCCCTAGACATGCTGACCTAGAATAATGGTTGCCTATAGTCAGTCTATGTTCTGAACAACTTTTGATCTCTGAGTTATGTGAGGCCTTTAAAAAGAGGGATTTGGGTACTGGAGAGATGACTCAGTGGCCAAGAGCACTGATTGCACTTGCAGAGGACCCAGGTTCTGTTTCTAGCACCTGTATAGTGGTTAACAACCATCCTTTACTCCAGTTCCAGGGGATCCAATGCCGCCTTCTGATCTCTGTGGGCATTATATAACATGGGTGCACTTACAAACTTACAGGCAAAATACTTGAGGGATTTGTTGATATACTGACTACAAATGGAATTACTCTGCAGTTTAATGGAATAGTTAATGAGTAGACACACACACGAGTACCTATATATGTGAATACTGTGTGTGTGTGTGTGTGTGTGTGTGTGTGTGTGTGTGTGTAAAGCAATGGGCTATATATGAAAAGATAAAAGTAACCCAAGAAATTATATAGAAAGGGACAAAGGAACATAAGCAAGTAAAGGGTGTTTGGGAGGGGTTGACTAAAAGAATGAAAAAGAGAATGTTAAATATGGTAAAAATACATAAAAATTGGAGGTAGCGAAATTTAAAAAGACAAATTAACTTCCTTTTGTGATGCTCTAGTTACACAGTATACAGCGTTAGTGAAAGCAAAGACTTGATTTCATCCCCTTATAGTCTTCTAATTTTATGTTTAACTTTTTTATTATTTTATTTATTTTTATTTTATGTCTATGAGTATATTGCCTGCATGTAGGTAGGTGCACCCATGTCGTGCAATGCCAGCTGAGGTCCAAAGAGGGCTTCAGATCTCCTGGAACTAGAATTACAGTTTTTAGCCACCACATGGGTGCTGGGAATCTTGCAGAGGACTCTGCAAGAGCCGTCAGTGCTTTTAACTGCTGAGCCATTTCTCCATCCCCTAGTTGTTTTTTTGTTTTTGTTTTTTTACTCACTAAATTATGTTCCCAATCCTGGCTAGCCATTTTTTAGTTGTCTTCCCTGATCAGACATGTGATTAGGCAAATAGTTGTATTGTTAAACCAATGTGCTTTGACACAAAAAAATGCCACTTAAAATATATTACTGTGGGGCATGATGGTACATACCTGTGCTCTAAGATACTCAGGCTGAAGCAAGAGGATCATGTGGACCTAGTAGTTTCTGACTAGCCTTGGCAGCATAGCCAGATCTTGTCAAGTAAGTAAATAAACAAATAAAATTTTTTAAAAAAGTAAATAAATCCAAGCCAGGCGTGGTGGTGCACGCCTTTAATCCCAGCAGAGATAGGTGGATCTCTTTGAGGCAGAGACCAGCGGATCTCTTTGAGTTCAAGGCCAGCCTGGACTACATAGTGAGTTCCAGGACAGCTGGGGCTACAGGGAGACCCTGTCCCAAAAAGAAGACCAAAAAAAAAAAAGTAAATAAATCCATCCATGCCCTGATTGTCTTTTATAGTGTTCTATCAGTATTCTGGAATTTTCAAGAATTCCAATATTTTAAAAACCTGTTGTTTTGGTGACCTCTTCTGAATTTTATTTTCAATCTTATAAATCCCAAAGACATTAATATGTATGATTTATAGAGTGGTGCTCTTACAAATATATGTGTTATAGGTTCATCTATAAGAAGTTTTTTGTCTTAATGCTAGTTGTATAGTTGTCTGTTTAGAGTTTTTGCTCTGAATTTTCAGAAATGGTGTTTTTCTTCATTATTATTTTGATAAATAGCATTTTTTCAAGTCAGACATACTAAGTATTGACTTAAAAATAGATTCTTGGGGGACTGGAGAGATGGTTCAGCAGTTAAGAGCACTTGCTGCTCTTCCAGGGGACCTGAGTTTGGGTCTCAGCACCCACTTCAGGGTGGCTCACAACCACCTCCAGCTCCAGGAGATCTGGTGCAGGCACTTGTGCATACCTGGTATACCCCTCCCCCCACCACACATACACATAAATAAAAAATTATAAATCTTAAAAAATGGATTCTTGGTTTTGAAGTAGAACTTAAGATCTTTCTCTGAGCACACTATTTCAAATACTGTTAATATAATATCTCACAGTGGTGGTCTTCAAACTTTTAAGGTTGAGTCTGTCCACATTTTCTCAGGCTATGTCTTTTGCTCATAACCTATAACGAACACTTTTCTTTTCTTTTCTTTTTCTTTCTTTTTTTGGTCTTCCAGCTGGCTTGGCGCTTGCTGTGTAGACCAGGCTGGCTTTGAACTCACAGAGATCCTCCTGCTTCTGTCTCTGGAGTGCTGGGATTAAAGGTATGTGGCACCACGTCTGGCTTTCAATTATTTTTTATTCTAGTCCTATCACTTGGAGGGACTCTGTTGGCTGCACTTGACATAAACTGATTTAATAATCCACTGATGGCTTATAAGCTGCAATTTGAGCAACAATGCCTTAGAGTAGATATTTACTAAAGATTTTTTAAAATGTAGAGCTATATAAGATAGCAAATCAGAGTTTTAGAAATATAGTTTATTATTTTTATTTTTTGTGTATGAGTGTATTCTTGCCTGTGTGCAATACCCAAGGAGGTCTGAAGAAGGCATTAAATTCCCTGGAACTGGAGTTACAGATGGTTGTTAGCCACCATGTGAGTGCTGGGAATTGAACCCTGATTTTCTGGAAGAGCAGCCAGTGCTCTTAACCACTGAATCATCTCTTCAGTCCCATGCAAACCAGACTTACATAATCTGTTTCTTCCAATAACCCTGGGTGAGATATTTCAGAAATATATTAATAATGAAAATCCAAACAACATGACAGCTACTAGATTGTTATTCAGACAATGTAATAGGATATAATAAATATTTATTTACTACTCTCCTTTTCTTGATGGGGACCAGTCATGTGGTCCCGCCTCCTGTTATGTGCAGAGGCAGAGAGAAAGGGCTGTGGCCCTCCAGGCTTCACGTCTTCAGTGCCGGCAGCTTCCCGTCTTCCGATTGTATCCTCAAACACCAGGACACGCGGGAAAAATAATACTTATTTACTTTTAAAACTATTTATTTATTTATTTATTTATTTATTTATTTATTTATTTATTTATTTATTTATTATTTCATGTGTGTACACACATGCCCTTTCCTTCTCCTCCCTCCCCTCTTTTCTTTCTTTTCAGACAGGTCTTGCTGTGTAGCCAAGGTTGGCCTCAAGTTTGAAGTCCTCCAGCCTCAGCCTCCTTGGGAATTGTTGGGAATTACAGGATGCACAACCACACTTGACTTATTTTTCATCATTATAATTTAGTGATTTCTAACTTTTAAGATTTAATCATTGTTTAACATATTTTTATAAAAGCTATATAACCACCCGTTTAAGTCTAGACTAGTTAAAGTTGAGCTGGCTATATAGCTTACTGGTAGAATGCTTGTGTCGCATATGCAAGGCCCTGGGTTTAAACAGACATTAAATATTTCCAGTACCACACAGAAAAGTGTAATAAAACAAACCACATTCTTAGTGGAAATGCAGTTTTTAATATTTTTTGATTAGATGCTTAGTATAAAACTTATATCATTGTAGAAACTCATCCCTATCTGTTCTCTCATAATGCATACATAGGTTTCTTCGTGCAGTAGGAAGGAAGTAGAGACAATGCCATAGATATTCCTTGGATTTAGTTCAGGCCAATTAGTTACTTTCCTTGTTACTGTTGTCCTGTGAAGTATTTAGGAACGATACACAATTAGTTTAGTCTGATTTCACTGTTTTTATTTTTTTCTTGGAACACAGTGTTCTGAAATAGTGAATCAATTGTATTGGTGATTTAGTTGTTAATAATTAAAACCTTTAGGTATAATTTGTAAACAGTAGTACAGTTTCTTGTAGTTTGGGAGTGAGTGCCCAACAGTTTGAATTTAGAAAAAGGCAAGGATTTCAGTATTTGGTTCCAGAAGATGAATAGTGAAGGTATGTGCATGTGCATGTGGTATAGGTATGTGTTTGTGTGGATCTGTGTACATGTGTGTCCAGGTGTGCCTGCATATGTATGTATGTTCGTGTGGAGGGCAGAGGTCAACGCCTGGCATCTTCCTCACTTGTTTCCCTCATATTGTTTGAAATGGGTAGCGTCTCTCACTGAATCTGGAGCTCATCAATTTTGCTAGGTTGATTGGCCAGTGAGCTCCAGGGATCCACATGTCCCTGCCTCATCAGTGCTGGGATTGTAGGAATGTGCCTATGCACCCAGCTTTTATGTGCGTGCTGGGGATTCAAATTCAGGTCCTCATATTCAGGTCCTCATGCACAGTAGGTATTTACTGACTTTACTTGCTGAGTTATCTTCAGCCCAGGAATTCTTTTTATAATCTATGTTCATAACATGTGAGTGTATACAGTGCACACTTTTCACTGGTTGCTATATTCTGTAACTCTCAATTCTTTTCTTTTTTCCAATAAGGCACACTTTGTTAGGAATACCTTCTCCAGCTTTCCAGCTTTCCAGCCTAGGCTTGGTCTTTTGTGTATGCCATTTCTTATTTTTCTTTAATGTCCTTATAATTCAAAAATTATTTGTTTAATGTGTATCTTTTTTTCAGTCCCTGTTAGACTATAAACTTTTTAAGACTCACTGTGCCTCAAAAATGCGATACCAGAAGGTTTACAAGTGAATTTATAATTTTAGTTGTTTTTTTCATTGCTGTCTGTTACGTATTTTCCACCATGCTTCTTTTTCATTCCTGTGTCCTCACAGGAATTCTGTGTAGTGGGAACCTTAGGCGCTCATCCATGATGAATGAAGAGGGAGTATCCGAAAGGCCACACATACACTGTGTAGCAGGGCAAAGCTAACCTCAGTCTTACCCACTTGCTTTATTTTTGGTTAAGATGTTTACAGGGCTTTTTAAAGGTCACGTCAAAAGTCGTGATTGTATTATAAGTATCTCACTGGCATTGTATATTTGGAACATCTTTTGTATGCGTCAGTCTTTAAAATAGTGTCTCCTTGCCTGAGGTACACCCACAGGACTACCTTGTCAGTGAATCTGCCTTAGAATAAGATCTTCCTGATGTGGAAAAATGAACTTCCTTTCCAGTTCTACCTTAGAGTAGTGCTGTTAGGAGTCTCCAGTGGATATACTTGGTGAATTCCTCATACAATAGACTCCCTCCCTCCCTACAGGGATTCCCTATAGTCCCAGATAACCTAAAACTCACTATGTAGACCAGGCTGGCCTCCATCACACAGAGATCCCCCACCTCTGTCTTCTGAGTCCTGAGATTAAAGGCACCCAGCACCCTCATTCTTTCAAAGAGTCCGTTGACAGTGCTGCTTTCTAGCGAGCTATGAGCTATGTCTACAGTGTACTTTTATCTTGAGCATTTATGGGCCCTTCAAATAAGAACTTATTTGCAGAAAAATGTTTTAAGACTTTGGGCATATAGTTTTGAATATTTAGGAATTTTAACCATTTAAAAAATTGTGGGAGAGTGAACATTTTAAGATTCTTTTTTTTTTAATTTTCAAAAGACATTAAAAATTTTAAAAATTATTTTTATTTTATGTGTATGCGTGCATTGCCTGCATGTATGTAAGTGCACCTGTGTCGAGCAATGCCCGAGGAGGACAGAAGAGGCTGTCAGATCCCCTGGAACTGGAGTTACGGGCAGTTGTTAGCTGCCACGTGGGTGCTGGGATTTGATCCCGTGTCTTCTGCAAGAACAGCCAGTGTTCTTAACCACTGTGCCATCTCTCCAGCCCCGTAGAAAGACATTCTGATGTCAATGCTTATAGTATATTAGAAGAGGAAGGTCAGTTATCAACAATTCAGCCAACATTTGTTGAATTCCTACCATGTTGTCTGGTTTGTGCAAAATACTGGTAAGGTAGAGGTAGGCAGGGTAGCCCCTGCTGTCTAAAACCTTATAATCTATGAGAAAATAGATTACATTATGATAAAAAAATTAAAGATGTGTTAAGGGAAACCCATATGACTAGAAACATAAAAAAGAGAGGCCTTTTTCAGACTAGGTATACCAGAGAAGCCTTCTTAGAAGTGATGTAAGTCCTTTCTAAAACTCAGGTAGGCATTAATCAGGTGAAAAGTATAGGGAAGACTTCTCTAGACCTTATTAGGCAGAGAGGAGAGCACATGTGTAAATATGGTTTAATTTCATTATGAAGATGAGGATTCATCAGTGATATTTGAGAGGCAGAGGATGCAATACTTAGTGACTGAACATTGGTTTGAGCCTTCCTTGGTAATTGGGAAATACTGGTATCATTGCAGGAATAGCAAACACACTAGGAGATAGAGGTGGGCAAGCAATACTCATTTTAAGAGCTATGATTTTGAGGTACAATGTTTCCATTTGAGTGTATAAATTTACAGCTGGAAAGTGATGTCAGGTTGGAGATGGAGATTTTGGGCTCTCCATAGAAGTCAGGGCACGTGAGCAAAAGGTCAAGAGAAACCAGCTAAGAGAGAAGGCAGAAAATTGAGGACAGTTGTAGAGAATAAGCTTGTAGATTTTTTTTTTCTTTTTAAGTCGAGATCTAAATCTAGAACCTTACGTTATTTTAGCTTGTTTTTTTCCTCTTTATTTTACTTCAGGAGAGAAAAGGATAAATGAGGAGGAAACAAACATTCATCAGAAGCTTATGTACTGAAATGCCAAGACACTGAAAGGATTTCCAAAATCAAAGATGAATTTAGTTTCATTTAATTATGAAGGTAAAAAGGTTCTCAGCAAGGAGAGTTTCGATCAAAGGTTTCTAGTTACCTTTCTTTTGTTTTTTGTTTGTTTTGACTCTCTCCTCTACTCCTCTTCCTCAGTCCTCCTCCTTCCCCCTTCCTCCTTCCTTCTTCTTCGGTCTTTTGTAGCCCCAGCTGGCCTGGAACTCACTATTTAGACAAGGCTGTCCTTGAGCTCAAAGAGATCTGCCTGCTTCTGCCTCCCGAGTGCTGAGATTAAAGATGTGCACTACCATGCCTGGCTTCTTGTTACCTTTCAGTGAGTCAGTAAATGAATCGGAATGCCCCTGAGAATTATAATTAGATTTTACTCTGTAAACTCTATTTTTGTTAGTATCTGTTATGTTTTTCAGATTTTTAACTTTGTATATATTCTGAGTACCATTGATTTGTTTTTCTAGTATTTTCGTATATAATGTATTACATGAAAGCTTACTCATACTCAAAAACATAAACTATTTGATTGAGTTTGCATGGGACTTCTGTGAACATCAGACTCCAGTCTTATCTGAAGAAATATTGGCAACTGATTGCTGCTAGATGAAGAAGAGCTGATCTTCCTAAAACAAGGGACTCTAGATAGGCTGACTAGCCCTTGTGGATGGACTTGCACTGGGGAACATCTGGGGATACTGACTTGACACAGTGGACCTTAACAGGGATGACAGAGTATATGGGCTCCAGTAGGGGAGCTATGGGAGGGTGCCGGTGGGGACAGGGGTATAAAGATGACTAAGATTGAGATTTTCTGTATGAAATACACAAAAATTCAATAAAAACAAATTGAAAAACAAAAACCACTATCATCATCCAGGACATGTGGCTTCTTTTAGACCTCACTTGTTTTCTGATATCGTTCTCAGGTCAAGGATGTGTAGAACTTGACGTCACAGAGTAAAAGAAACCAAATTGTTCCATAGAAAGGGAAATAGCTTTCATATAGTCATAATATTGTGATAGAATCTATTAAAGGAGTGTTTCAGGCACTTTGTAAGGAAATACGGTGCTATTTTCCATCACAGTCTATTTCTTTCTAATGAGTATCTCTGACTGCCTTGAGTGGATAGCTTTTTTCAACTTTAGTACAAAAATTACAGCCATTGTTTATCAAGACTTTATTTTATGCCATGTAGAAAGTTATCTAGACTGATGCATAATTTCATTTTTGTTTAGTCTTAATATTCTTGCAGATAATGGCAGTTATAACAGTAATAACTATAATTTGTCAAGGGCTTAATATGTTCTAAGTACCAGTTTATGTACTTAATCTCAT